AATGTGTGACTTTGGGCCAGTCATTTCACTTTGCTAAATCCCTACTTGGCTTTTCGGAAGAATAACTGATGGTGTGGAGGTGTCTCTTCCAGAGCATGGCCAAGGACAGTTTGTGGCTCTCACCTGCTGAGGGTGCTGGGTCGGGGACAGAGGAGATGCAGAGGGCTGGACAGTCTGAGGGGAGAGGAGGTTGCTGCCAGCTCCTCTCGCTGTCCTGGCAGCTTGTGTCCATAGTGCCAGACTGGGCCATCTTCCAGCTCCTGGAAGGATCCACTCAGGCTGCTGGAAATGATAGTGTGGACGATCGGGGAGGGGGGGTGGTGCGTCAGCTTTTCTGAGACCACAAGGTGTTCCTGGCAATATGCTGAAGGCCAGCCTCCTCACCCGCACTGCCTGACCCCTACAAGTGGAATTGAAGACACAGAAGTTAGTAGGAGGGACATTACACCTAATCAGTGCTATTATGCCTTCTGGCCAAGCCATAAAACAAGAGAACAGGAATGACCAGGGCCCTGCCTTTGAACTTGAATCCTTTCTAAACTGCCACTCCAGCCCAGGGAGACCACGAGGCAGCAAGCAAGAGGGAGCCCCTCGGGCCCCTCCTCGGAGGGTCAGAAAAAGCCCATTCGCTCCTCACCTTATCCCGGATGCTTAAAAAAATATTGTGGTAATGTAGGTCAGTGAACTGACCGGCACCACACACCGGCAGGATTACAGGGCCCGCCAGCCCGCACGCTGGCCCACTCGGCCAGATGAGAACATAAACAAGAAGTGCCGGGAGCCCTCAGCTTCCCTGGCCCTAGGCTTTTGTTTATGTAGCACTTAAACCAACTTTGGGGTCGTTGCAGTCTGCCATGAAGGCCCCGAAGCTTTTTGAAGTTCCCCTGAAGTTAATAAAATTAGTCTGCCCTCGTTGCGAGCCTTGGGAGGGGGTGGGAGATGGGTTCTCTGCTGTGTCTGTGGCATTTAGCTTTTTAAGTTAATATTCTATAACCCAAAGAAAGGAAGAGGCGGGGGAGAAGGCCCAATAAAAAGTCTTGTGAAATGCCTTTTTGCTTATAGGTAGCATGCCTGCCACCCCAGGGCCCTGGTCACCACGAAGCCCCGCCACCAGGCCCGTTGGAGAGCCTGCTGTGCTCCGGTGCGAGGGATGGCCTGTACTGGGGCGGAAGGGGACCTAGGTGCAAGGCGGGGCTGTGGGCTCCCTCTAATGAAATGTACCCCCAGCCGCAAGTCCACTTGAGTGATTTACTTTTGCGCCCAAAGAGCCAAGAGTCCCCTTCTGTCAGCAGTATCTCCCTCCCCACCTGCATATCACGTGCATATTTACTGGGACCTGTCATGGGCCAGGGCCCTGCAGGGCAGAACTCCCAGTCTGTCTCGTGAGGGACACAGACAGGCCAGCTGCCAGTGATGAGACAGAGCGGCCAGGCCTCAGGACAGGAGGTTCCTGCCGTGTGGGGAGGCTGTCTGAAGGAAGGCTTGTCCAAACTGAGCCCGGGAGGACTGGGGGAAGTCTGGGGTGGGTACGGTTGAGGAGAGGGGGGAGGGGTCTTAGACATGTTCATTATATTCATAGGCTTGATTGTGGTAATGTTTTCATGGGTGTATACATATCTCTAAAATCATCAGGTTACATACCTAAAATGTGTACGTGCTTTTATAGATCAGTTATGTGTCGATAAAGTGTTAAAAAATGAAAGACCACAGGCAGGACTGAGCATTGCAGACGTACCAACAACCACAGTTAGATACGTTTAACATTGACTCAGGCATTCGGGGAGCATATAGCAAGGCTTGTTGATGTGCAGGGAACGCAGCTGTGGAGAAGAGAGACATGTTTCTGCCCTCACGGACCCGTGTCCCGCTTGGAAGGAAGAAACAAGTAACGGACAGGGGCACCTGGGTGGCTCCGTCAGTTGCGCGTCCACCTCTTGATTCTGGCTCAGGTCATGATATGGTCGGGATATCGAGCCCCGCGTCAGGCGCTATCGAGCCCCGCGTCAGGCGCTGAGCTGAGCGTGGAGCCTGCTTGGGATTCTCTGTCTCCCTCTCTCTCTGCCCCTCCCCTGCTTGCTCTCTCACTCTCTCTCTCTCTCTCAAAATAAATAAACGTTAAACAAACAGCAGATAAAGCTATGGCATAATATCAGGGAGTGATCTGTGCTCCGAAGACAAGAGACAGGACCAGGGTTTACAGAGGAGCAAGGGCCAGGGTGCTGGGAGGACACAGGCACGAAAAGCTTGACTGGGGCCCTTGCAGGCACCAGGGCCCTGCCCAGAGACAGGGACACCCTGTAGCCAGTGAGCCGTCCAGAGGCAATGGAATGGAGGAAAGAATATAATTACCCTCCACAAGGATATACATGAGCCCCTGGAGGCAGGAGCTTGGATTTGCCCCCGGTGACACACCTGGCACATGGTAGGCTCTCAGTAAATATTTGTAGGAAGAAAGGACGAACATTGTTAGGAATTGGGTGTGAATTTTCTGCCTGGATTGCCTGTTGGGGCCCTGTGGTGCCTTTTATAAGGTGATTCTCTAGGTAGGTTGTAAGCTCCTGGTGCAAGGACTGTGCCTTTTCTCTGACTGTGTCATTTCTCGCCCAGCCATGGGGCCCAGGACAAGTCTTGGGTCTCAGCTGGCCCTGTCTCATGGGCTAGCAAGGGCCTGGGACCCACCCGTCCTGCCCAGAGTGTCCCCGGGGCTGAAGATCCCAGCGGGCGTCTTCAGCACGGGCTCTGCAAAGGCCCGGTATACTTGGCTTTGAACTTCCACCGTGCCACTGGCCCTGGTGACTGCAGTTCCCTCAGATCTCGCCTCTGACTGCCCTGAAGTAGGAATGAAAACCCTTTGCAGACAAGGGTGCCCCGGGGCTCAGTGGGGCCCCCTGATGCCTCTGTTACAGGCTGCGGTGCTCTGAGGCACTTTCTTCTAACAACTGGTGGCCTCTGAGTAGTGCAGGCCGAGCTTAGGACAGGAGGTGGCACTGAGCACCTTCAGTCATGGGGCACACAGAACAGCTAGTCCAGAGTCAGTTCGGCTAACCATCCTGGCTGCCGAACATGATAGGTAGCCCTGCCTCCCAGGCCCCGGGCAGGCTGGGAACAGACTTCTACGTACAGACCGCTCTGGTGGGTGTGGAGGCAGAGGTCCTGGGAGCCGCGAAGCCTGGGAAAGCATTTGGGGCTGCTGACATCCGCTCACCCTCGCTCCCCGTGTCCTGCAGCTCCCAGGAGCCACCTCCGTTCAGTTCACCCTGTGGTACCCACAAACAGGGTAGAGCCCATGGCAGGCCCGCCCACGGGAGAGCTCTGCCGGGGCTGAGTCCTGAAGGATGAGGAGGAGTTCATGTGTGGGAATGAGATTTGTGAATTATAAAGGGTTGTGCAAGTGGAAATGATTATTCTTATCGTTATTTGTATCCGATTCATCCATCACCGGGGAGAGGAGGAATTCAAGTACCTTTTATCTGGCGCTATGAATCAAATAGAATAGGATATGTTTTTCTAAAAGGGTTTTAGGGTAAATGGGACAGTTTCTGCCTTTCAAAACAATCCATCTGGGGCCCTTGGCCAAATCTTGGTGTCTTGGGCAGAAGTGAGAGGTTTCTGAGGTTGAGGACAGCCCGGCCCATGGGGGTCCCCCATGAGTCTCGGCCTCAGGAGGAGAACACGTGGAGGCTGCAGGCCCCACCGCTGGCAGCACTCCAGCCTCCATGCTGCTGCCCGGGCTGACGCCTGCTCAGACTCAACCCTGGTCCCCAGAAGCACCCAAGCCGGTACACAGGGCCTGGAGAGCAAGAAGAAGCCTCCCCCATTTGCTCTGTGGCACCTGTGTGGGACCCAGCATGCCGGACGCCAGGTCAAGCACGGGCCCTGCTCTGAAGTAGCAGCAAATCTCAAGAAGAAGCTCATTAGCCTGTTTGAGGTCATCTGGGGGAGGGTCTAGTCTTCAACATGCACACACACACATACACATGTCCCTCTTTCTCTCTTTTACACAGAGGCCTGGCACATTCTTGGCACAGGCCCTGGAAAGGAGCCAGGAAGGGCAGGGGAGGCCACAGGAGGGGAGAGTGACACTTCAGCCTTCCCCGCACTCAGTCCCCTGGGGAGAGGTTCAAGGTGAACACAGCTCTTGCTGAAATCAGGGCTGTACTAGGTCGGCTTTTCATGCACGTGTGTGTCCCTTCTGTGGCCTGGGCCTCCACAAAGAGTGAGGGGGCACAGGCTGGGCAGCGCAGGGCCTGGCCACGGCCAGCAGGGAGACAGGGAAGCTGGGGCCTCTCCTGGGGTTGGGGCAAGAGGGCATCACAGAGAAGAGGCGGTGGGGTGTGGTGTAGGTAGATGTGGGCCAGGCCAGGAAGGGGCCCTGAGCAGAGTGAGTAAAGCCTTGGCTGAAATGCATATGTGTTTAGTGGGATGGGGCGGCAGAGACCAAGTTCTCGGACACTCCTTGTGGGAGGGGAAACCGGAGAGAGGGTGAGGCAAGTTCTAGAAAACCTTGATGCAGACTCAAGTGTGGATGTCATCCTCTCGACCTGGGGAGTCTGAGCAAGCTTTCATGAGGAGAGTGCCGCTAGCCACCATTAGACAGGTGCTTGGAGACAGGCAGGGCACAGTGGCCTTGCAGAGGCTGGTACGGGCAGGGAGGTTGTGGGTTCTGAGCTCAGTCTGCCCTGGGAGCTCTGTGACCTGGGACGGATGGCCTAACTCTGCTATGCCTCCAGTTCTACATCTGTGAAGTGGGGAAACAGTGCCTCCCTCCCATTGCTGCCGTGTGCTATGCGTGAGCCACACAAAGCTCTCACGGCCAGCTTGCCGGCAGCCGAAGCTCAGCGGTGGTCAGTGGTGGTGATGAGGGCTGGTTGCCACGTGACTCCAAGTGCATTCCTTTGTCGGCGAGACAGATCACCCCAGGGCCGGGTAGGGGCAGCGGCAGTCCCAGGCTCCTCCAGCACACACTGATTGTCTCTCCGGGGCCGGGTGTGTGGGGACAGGTGATAGACGACCACAGCGTGATCGGCCGCTCCCTGTTCAAAAAGGAGACCAACATACAGCTCTTCGTGGGCCTCAAGGTGCACCTGTCCACTGGGGAGCTGGGGGTCATCGACAGCGCCTTCGGCCAGAGCGGCAAGTTCAAGATCCACATCCCTGGTGAGTGCAGTCACTTCCTCCCACTGGCAGGCACCATGCAGGCATGGAGAGACAGCAGAGACGGTGCACAGACAGTGCCCCTTGGCTCAGGATGTTCAGCCTGCCTGAGCTGATACACGGGGCCCAGCCCACTCGGCCTCATGGCCTTTGGTCCCCTGTGGCTGAAGAGCCGGGATGGGTCCTGGAGGGGCTTGGCATGGAGTTAGCCTCTGGGTAGAGCCAAGGTCAAGGTCTGAGTCTGAGCTCCTGCTGCACCGTTACCATATAGGGGTGACCTTGAATGTATTACCTGGCTTGTCTGTGAAGTATGGTACCAGTACTGATCTGACAGTTGCTTTGAAGGAAAAGTTGGTGACAGAGACCACCAGGAGCCTGGAACGCTGCCCCAGTAGCCAGAATGTGAGTTGCCACCTCCTTTTTTGCCCCGTGGAGACCAGTAGGTGCGGAGGCTCTGTGCAACCTGAGTTGGGGCTTGTCCATGGCGGGATCAAGGGTGTGCATTTGCTCTTGGGAATAGAGCCCTTGGATTTCTTTAGTTCGGCCCTCCATCCCATCACTCCTGCGCATACCCCACACCCGTATTCTTGAGGTCCCGCTGCACACCCGGCAGGCTGCCACGGTCATGGGAGGGGGTAGGTGGGAATGCACTGAATGAGTATTGACTGTGCCTCACAGAAAAATAAAGGAGGGTGAGGGGGAGAATCACTGTGTGTGCCTCCGGACAGGGCAATTAGGGAAGATCTCTCTGAGGCGAGAACAGTTGAGTAGGGGCCTGACCAAAGGGAAGGAGGGAGCCCCACTGACACCAAGGGAAAGAACGTTCGTGGAGAGAGGGGATATGTACGAAGGCCCTGACTTGAGGACTGCTTGTTTGGCACAAGCTGGGAGGTGTGTGGGATGTCACTTTTCTTCCCCAGCAGTACGTTACACCAGTTTTCAGACATGCAACAGAGTTGAAGGATTTTACAGAGAAACCCCGACTTCGCATCAACATGTTGCTGTACCCTGCGTATCTGCAGGGCTCTGGGTTTTATTCTGTGAGGGTTGGAAAGCCACGGGGAGGTTCAGATCAAGTCAGCAACACGATGTTGGTGTAGAGCTTCTTGAATGACATCTTCAGGTGGGGTGGTGCCCTGGCCAAGTTCCCTGGCAGCTCGCCAGGTGAAGTCAACACCCTCTGCTCTCCTGAGAGCCTGGCCAAGGGCCCTTGCCTCCCTAGTCCTTCCTCAAGCCCAGAGGGTCATGTGTGGGATTTGCCCTCGCATAAGGAAGAGCAGTGGGCACCGGAGGCCTGCTTCCCTGTGGCACTCGGATCTGCTGTTTGCACCCCGAGGTCTCCGTCAAGGTGGGGCTCAGCTCCGTCACGGTTGGACATACTCCCTTGGGGCAGGCAAAGTGACCATGATACCAGGCTTTAAGCTCCTGTCCTGTCCTCTCCACTGCTCCTGGTCATTACCTCAGCCCAACCAGGGTCCACAGTGTCCTGCTCTGGGTTCCAAGAAACACACACAGGGCATGAGCCGGGCAGGCCAAGGTCCAGACCTCACTTCCCAGGGCTTTGGGCCTGTCCCTGTGGGGGCTCACTGGGAAGGAGGGGTACAGGGCACTGGGAGGGCAGGAAGGGAGCTGCCTGGAGTTGGGGGGGATTGCACCCCGGAGCACTCACCCCTCCCCCGGTGGCAGGGGCCTGCTGGTCCAGACGAGGGAAGGCCAGCACCGTCTGTTTCCTTTTTTGGGGGGTCATGCTGACCTTCCCCTCAGCCCCCTTCCCCTATCCCAAGGCAAACTCCGAGTTGGGGTGTTCTCAGAACAGGCCAGAGTACAAGAGGAGGCTTGTTTGGGGGCTCTGGGTACTGGGGTGGGAGTACAGGGAGGGAGACACAGTGCCGCGGCTTCAGTCAACTCAAGTTCACATTCCTTTGTTAGATCAGTGTTGCCTTTTTAATAGGTCTGCTTCCTGTTTGTGGCTTTTAAGCTTTTTATTAAATATAACTGGTCAGATTCCTTCATCCCCGCCCCCCC